ACTACTGGCGCTGTGTAAACTCTTTGTGTGTGTAACTACTGCGTGTGTAACTACTGTGTGTGTAACTACTGCGTGTGTAACTACTGCGTGTGTAACTACTGCATGTGTAACTACTGCGTGTGCCTAAACTTACTGTGTGATGTAACTACTGCAGTGGTAACTCTACTTGGTGTGTAACTACTTGTTTTACCAGTTCGTGTAACTCTTACTGCCCGTGTTGTAACTCTACTGCCGTGTGTAATTCTACTGCGTGTGTAACTCTACTGCGTGTGTAATTCTACTGTGTGTAGGCGATAGAGTGCATGCAAAAACTGGAGGGGAAGAGGAAGGTGCTGGAGACTCTGCAGGAGAGTGAGAAGGATCTCCAACAGAGGTTTCTCTCTCTGCTGGGAGAGAACAACAAATTTGCCGACTTCCTCACCAAAGTCTACAAGAAGAAGATCAAGCGAGTCAAGAAGGTGCAGAAGGAAGAAGGTAAGAGCCAGGGAGAAGGGGGAAGGTCAGGGTCTGGGAGCAGGAAGAAGGTATAGAAGCCAGTAGAAGGCGGGGATATAGGTCAGCGCGTTGGCGAGCAGGAGGAAGGTAAGAGCCAGGGTAGAAAGGGGAAGGTCAGGGCTCTGGGAAGCAGGATGGAAGGTCAATAGCAATACTGATATGAGCCTATAATGCCTATAATATGGCGATAAAAGGGAAAAACCTCAAAAGGTGTTCATTTATAAAGCAGGTGGTCGTTCGAAAAGATTGTTTCACTTTTATCGCCAGTCAAAGGAAATGCCATGCCCTCAGAGATGAAAATGTCTGTTATAGACAGGTGTCCACACATTCATGTGTCCCATAATAGGCAGGGTCCATTCTATAGAGTTGTGAGCGCTGCAGTGTAGGTTACTGCCAGAGTTTGCCCGTCGTATTTCGCTCTCAGGCTTCGGACCCGGATGGCCAGCGATGGAGGACGACAGCGACGACGACGACTCTGATTGGTCGCGATGTCCTGAGGACGCGGTCAGGATTCGGGATTGCGCGGCCGGGGACTGGCGATGTCCGGGGCGCTCTCCTCGCTCTCTCCCTCTCTTCCGATCGGCTCTCTCCTCTCTCTCTCTCTCCTTCTCCTCGTCTCTCTCTTCCCAACTCTCTCCCCCCTCTCTCTCTCGTCTCTCTACTCTCTCTCTCTCTCTCTCTCTCTCTCTCTTCTCTTCTTCTCTCTCCCTCCTCTCTTCTCTCTCGTCGTCTCGTCTCTCTCTCTCGCTCCGTCTCTCTCTCTTTCCTCTCTTCGCCTCTCTCACTCTCTCTCCCATCGTCTCTCTCTTCTTCTCTCTCTCTCTCTCTCTCCGTCTCTCTCTCTCTCTGCTCTCCCAACTTCCTCACTCTCTTCCCTCTTCTCATCGGCTGTGTCCGGCGCGCTGCGAGCAGACATGTATGACACAGTGTGCCGCCTGCGGGAGAACAGGTGCACGTGTCTGAAGTAGCCCCAATCCACATTTGCACTCGTCTCGCTGTAGTCACCTTGCCCAATCACAGGTGTCGCTGTTTGTAGTTACCGTTGCCAATCACATTTCTCTGTGCGTGTCATGTAGTTACTGCAATCACAGCTGCCTTGCGTGTCTGTAGTTACCTTCAATCACAGCGGCGTTCCTTGAAGTTACCTGCCAATCAACAGGTTACGTGTCTGTAGTTATTCCTGCCAATCATTCTATGTGCGCTGCTCTGAAGTTACCTGCAAATCATGCCGGTCGTCTCTCGTTCTATTCTCCTCTCCTCTCTCTCCTCCTCTCTCTCTCTCTCCTCCTCTCTTCCACCACTCTCTCCTATCTCGTCTCTCCTCTCTCCTCTCTCCCCTTGTCTGCGCTGCTTTGTTCTCCTACGTTTTGCTGTCTGTAGTTACCTGCCAATCACATTGTGCGTTGTCGTGTAGTACCTGCCAAATCACACCTAGAGTGCGTGTCTGCTAGTTACCTGCCCAATCACAGGATGTGTGCTCGTGTAGTTACCTGCCAATCCACATGTGCGTTGGATCTGTATGTAACTGCCAATCACAGGTGTGCGTCGTCTGTAGTTACCTGCCAATCACAGTGCACGTCTGTAGTTACTCGCCAATCACAGTGCTGCGTTGTCTGTAGTTACCTGCCCATCACTGTGCTGTCTTTAGTTACCTGCCAATCACCAGGCCCCGTACGTGTACTGTTAGTTACCTGCCAATCACTATGTGCGTGTCTGCTAGTTACCTGCCAAATCACATGTGCGTGTCGTAGCTTACCTGCAATCACAGGGTGCTGTGTCTGTAGATATACCTGCCAATCACCTGTGCGTGTCTCGTAGTTACCTGCCAATCACAGGTGCGTGTTCTGTAGTTACCTGCAATCACATGCCGCTGTCTGCTAGTTACCTGGCCAATCACAGGTGCGTGTCTGTAGTTACTCTGCCAATCACATGTGCGTTGTCTGTAGTTACTCTGCCAAATCATCAGGTTGCGGTCTGTAGGCTTAACCTGCCCAATCACAGAGTGCGTGTGGCCGTGTCTGTAGAATAAAACATAAAAACAAACCTGATTACATACCTTATGCTAGTGTATAGCCCAATGACTAGCTTACTCTCATACGCAATAATACGAGTGTTGTTTAGCCGGGAGCCAAAGCGGCGCTACACCCGTAGAGCTGCCAGGGACTATAGCTAGCCCTTCTGTCACTGCCTCCGCTCATACGCAAGTTAAGTAGCTAGTTGAGCTGTTTAGCCAGCGCTCTAGCTTCTCACGTGTCTGCCTCTGTGCGCACAGGCTGGACAAGAGGAAGCTGGTGACAGAGGAGAAACGAAGCTGTGAGATGACGCGGAAAGAACACGAAAGCCATCATGAAGAAAGGTGACAGATCATAGATGGAGGCTTGCATGCAGAGGAATTCTGACCTAGAGGCGTTTCCAGCGTAAAGTGAGAGTGGCCCGTGCGAAGTAAGATAAGTTTCCTACGCTGAAAGTCTGCTCATCGATCTAGATCTTGTCCCTCCATCCATCTAGTCATCCCATACCTATTTACTTAGTAAAGTATACATTATCTGGTAACTGTCATCTCCACTGTTGTGCCGTTACTACTGCCCTGCTGCTGCTGCCCCTGCTGCATGCTTCTCATCTATCTCTCGTCGCTCTTTTTTTCTCTTTCTCTCTTTCCCTTTATTTTCTCTCTATCTCTCATCTCTCTCTCCCCTCTTATCTCTCTCTATTTATCTATCTCTGACCTCACTCTCTATCTATCTATCTCTTCTCATCTCTCTCTCTCTCTCTCTCATCTCTCTTCATCCCCCTCCCCTCTCACACAGCTGCGCAGAAGCCAGAGGAAGCTGAATGAGTTGATGTAGTCGTGACGCTGACCGGCTGGAGCCAGATCCTAGCACGGTTCTGTTCACGCTCAGCATTCCTGCGACCTGCAGCACCCAGCATCGCTCATCGACGCCGCCCACGCTGCGAGCGCTGCAGCCGCTACGCATCCACCAGCTGCAGCAGGAGAAGACCGAGCAAAGCGCAAATCAATACAGGTAAAGCAAGGGACACCTCATGTTATCTACCTAGGATCGATGCGCTTTACCGTTCTCAGGACGGTCTTAGCCAGCGTCGTGAACGTAAACCCTCGCTGTGTCTTACACGACATGATGCGCTGCATGGCTCACCTTCTGCGCGCTCTATACGTAATCCGTTTTCCTTCATCTCATGCTCTCACCTCTTATACAAGTCCAAGATTTTTTAGCTAAAACCGCGACATTTTTCAAAACAAGCTGAATTTTTCAGGCATAGGGTTCAGAAAATGGTGTAGAATAACATTACTAAAAAGTCTCCTGAAATCTCCCTTGTGCGTTTTTCCAGAATCCAAGATGCTGCTCCAAAATTGCCCCATTTAGGTTATTTCCCATAACTCTGCGCTCCAGATCGAGCTAGCAAACCATTGTTGATGTAATATGTATATTATATGTTTTAATGGCCCAAGAATCTTACTTAGCGTACTTTTTGTGAGGTTTCAAGTGCCCATGCCAAGTTACCTTAATCCAAGATCATTAGCCGCAGTAGGCATCCCTTACACTCTACCCCCGCCAAACATCCAATGATTTTTACAAAAAATGGCAGAGTAGAAACAACTTTAAACAATATTAAAATCAATAACAAGTGCTTCCAAAACGTACATCATGAACATCGTTGTATATTTGCATTATCCTTAGAAAAGCTACATTCAACTGTTACTGTGTGTGTGTGTGTGTGTGTGTGTGTGTGTGTGCGTGCGTGCGTGCGTGCGTGCGTGCGTGTGTGTGTGCTTACGTGCGTACGTGTGTGTGCGCGCACGTGCGTACGTGTGTGTGCGCGCGTATGTGCATATGCGTGTGTGCGTGCGCGTGTGATATTCTTGATCTATGGTACACTAGAACATTGTGTCCTATTGAACTCTCCAGCTCTCAATTTATTACTAGGCCGTTTCACCGCTGACTGAACTGTCATATTATAATCGTTAAGATATACTGTCATAAAAACTCGTTGGCGCACTTGGGGACCTGGGGAATATCTCGAATTTGTACTATATTCTAAATCTCTGGCTCGTCTGGTCTCTCTGAGCGTGTGGTCCACGTTGAAAAACAAGTGCATTCCAAGATTATATATTTCATAATAAAAGACTTGACACTTATGAATAATACAATTATGTACATTAAATAAAAGTTTTAAATTGTTAACAGTTCAAAAATAGAGTAAATTTGCATCTAATTGTCTATCAACATCTTGGACTAATTTCTTTCAAGTTTTCTCTAATAAATCAAATGGAGTGAGGCGGTCACAGGGAGGCATACAGGGAGGTTACAGGGAAGGATACAGCAAAGTGTATCCGCTATCATATCACTGACACACATGCAGAGATTATAGTTTGAATATGAAAGTACAACAGAAAAGATTGATGTGATGTATTTTACAAAAAAAATTAAATCAAAGTACAACAAAAAATGCATATTATCAATACATTTATAGCGTCCGCTACACTCAGTCATACCACTGTTTGTACTCAGAGCTAGCATGGAACTGCCTCGTGTCTTCTATCAGAATGAAGGCCCTGTTGGGGCTGGCCTACACAGTGAATCAATGCGCGGCTGTCTTGAGATCCACAAGCAAGCAACGCAGCTCTGCCTGGATGCTATCGGTATGATCAGGGTGACAGCTAGTATTAGTAACTATAAGTAAATGCTGTAGTGTAAAAACTTGACTGTTTCTAGGATCATTCTGGCGATAAACCAACTTCGCGCTAGGTTACTGTGTTCGTGCACGTTCACTTTCGCTTTCTCGGACACAGTCACACTTAAATCATAATAACACTAATAATGTACTGGTAACATAGACACTAAATGGTAGCCGCATCTTTCCAAGCGTGCGTTCATGTGTGTGTGCGCGTGTGTGCGCGCGTGCGTGCGTGCGTGCGTGCGTGCGTGCGTGCGTGCGTGCGTGCGTGCGTGCGTGCGTGCGTGCGTGCGTGTGGATTATGAGTCTATAACTTTTTGCGTAGACGTGTGCTTCACGTAGATTGTATCATGTATATATAGTGAGTGATACATCAATTTTTTATTTAGTTTCATATATTTTTTAGTGTTGAAATATAACGGCATATAGGAAAAAACCTATACAATGACCATGCAGGCATATGCATCCACTATTTCGTATGCGCATGCGCTGATATTAGACTGTGTCGCGTTTACACCCTTTAATTACCTCTTAGTTTAACACCCTCTAGGGCAGCTAGATGTATAACTTGATCAAGTTTGAGAAATCAAATCACAGGTTATTATAGTATAGTCGCATTTCGCATAAATCATATTTATTCGGTCTAGACGCGCGGCGACATGGGCTATAAGGCTCGTTATTTGTCAGATGTTTCTCCAAAATATGTTTCGTTTGGATTCACTGTTGGCTAACGTATCGCCAAACTGTACACTTGCACTCGCCTAACGCGCACACATGGGCGCAGGTGTGCACGCCCCCCCACCCACGCACACTTACACGCACACACGTACACATAAATAAATTTAGCATTTGAATTCATACAAATTCATGAGAATAGCATATTGAACCATGTATATACGACCAATTTTGTCACACACATCAAGTATAGAAGACGAGAATTTACCCTGTAATACATGTCAACCTCTCACTGCGTAATACCAACAACGGCAAATATATAGCACGTCAACCACTACCAGAGCAACACTACCACTACCACTACCACTACCACTACCAGAGCACATAACGCAGCAAGTAAACATAGCTAAAGGATGCATGTAATAGCAGGATATTTCCGTTCTCTCAGATGCGGTTCCATTCCCCGGTAGAGGGAGCTTCCTGCTCGCAGACTTCGCCGCTGCTGATGGAGGGAATTCTATGGCACTCTTTAAACTCCTCATCGGTACGACCAACGCCCGTAGCAACGGTCGTAGCCTGCGCGATTTCGCACGGAAAGGGTTGAAATAACCTTGGCCTTAGCTATGACGAGCAAATACTTCGTTGACGATTAGGTTTAAAGACATTTTTTCGATTATTTCTTGCGTGTATTTTAATATGATAAGCATGCACGACCGTAATTCTTGTCGGCTATCAACAGAGATTCCACTGTTTACATCCCGCGTTACAGTTCTATACCTTCAGTAATAAAGCCGAAAGCAAAGCTAACCATGAGTAACCTACGCCTTAGCTCAGACTTCACTCGTAAAACCAACGTGTAATCAAGTTCGATTAGTAGGCGTTGACATACTACTGATCGTGACAGCGGTGGCGACGACGACGACGACGACGATACTACTGATATAGACTTACCATAGTTTGCTTCATACTGTATAGATTCCATCAGGAAGAAGCACGGAGAAGACTTCGACATTGAGGTAGTTTATGATGGATCAACTTCAACGACTGGACGTCGCTGTTCTACGGTCCGCAAGGTTACCGTAGAGATTATATTACAGATTAATGCAATAAACATGGCATATTGACAACTAAAATACACACACACGACCACACACACACACACACACCACACACACACACACACAGCTTTATTTATATTTATAACATATATTTCACATATATACTTATAAATATATATTATTATATATATATATATATATATATATATTATATAATATATATATAAAGAGACACACGCACACGCAAGCACGCACGCACTCACACGCACACTGCGCACAGGCACGGATTGATATATATTATATATATTATTATATATATTAATATATATTATATGTGTATGTATGCTATTATATATATTATTATATATTGTGGTGCATACATGTATAGAGTTGCTAGATTGTGAATGTACGCCAGATAGTTCGTATGCTACCGTTGCAGTGCGTCGATCCCGTAAGTCGGAGCAGCTTCGAAGCAACACCTACGAAACTGTTTTACAAACATCCCTCGTGGCCCATATCGTTCTAGTAATCTTTCTACGTTATTCAGCGATATTTGTGGTCGTTTCAGCATAGCATTTATAGCTATTTATTTCATTTCTACGCCAGGCGTGCAAATCACTGTACGGGGCTTCGCCGACACAAACCACCGTAGGCCCGAGGAAGATGCAGCTGTTCAGACAGCCAGGCGGCTTGAGGATTGGAGGAGACCATACTCGTACATAGGGCCATGGAAAGTTGCTAGCCAGGTAGCCAAAGATTGCTCCTGTTTCTCTTAAGCCAACGATAGGCTACAGCAATTCACAACTAACGGTTCGGTTATTTATGCATAATTGTGACAGCAGCGAGTGCATATTTGCGTTAGCCTTTTTATGTTAAGAACTGTCAGACTACCAGGTACCACTATTACTAAACAATTTTTTGCACCATTTGCTAGTAGTGGGCGACTTTGGTGATAGCTAAACTCTTGGTACCGAGTAAAGATAATTAATATGTGGAGACAACACCAAGCGTATCAAGTGTAAACTTGGTTTAAAACACATGACGGATAAGTGATCGCACGCTGGCTGAAGATAAGGCATCATTAGCAAGGTACGACTCGGGCGGTCTCAGGGGGCCAAAAAGCAAAGAAACATCGTTTCTTTATTATTTTACTCGTATTTTTATGTCGATATACTCATATTATTAATCTCTTGTGCTCCAGGAAAAATTCGCAGCGACATTGAATATGAATGGTGTGTGTGTGTGTGTGTGTGTGTGTGTGTGTGTGTGTGTGCGTGCGTGCGTGCGTGCGTGCGTGCGTGCGTGCGTGTGTTTTACATGCCTATTAATCAAGAACTATTAACAATCCATTATCCCGTGTGTTGTGGTGTTTTTAGGAAGAGTTCCAGAGCATGAACATCAACACCTACAATCGCACGGAGGAGGAACAAAAGGAGCCTCTGATAAACGCCGATTCTCCTGTTTACAAGCTTGGCCTCCGCCTGGAATCGATGGAAGTAAAGCTGGTGCACTGTTACTTCCACGACAGATGGCTTGCAAGCGGCATCGATGGTTAGTACGAGAACATTATGGATGTGAGTGACATTATTGTACCAGCGAGGTGCACACAAGGACTGTGAACTACGCAGTCAGGCTAGGTAGCGCAAGCGATTCGTAATAATTGTATGTTGGTCACGGCGAGTCAAAATCGCATCATCCGGTTGATCATTACGTTACATAGGCACAATCAGTGTAAAAATAGTCTGGCAAAAGCATACTAATAAATGAGAATGATTTATTTAGATTGTGAAGGATTATCACTCGCGTGACGCGTATGAATACGCGTGTGAAACGATTTGTTATATTAAAGTGTTATTGTTGTTTGCTGCTTAGCTGCACATCCAGCTTGTAACTGATAATTGTTTTATTCGCCGCCAGGTGACGTTGCTGCAGCCCGCGCTCACGCACAGTCGTACGTGCGTTCGATCCGTATTTGGGGGAGCAGCGTGCTTCTACAGGGTCTATCCGATAGCCGCACTCCGCATGAGAAAGCAAAAATCGTCGATGCCTTCTTTCAGAGTTACGAGGATGACGTGGCTAAGAATCCGAGAGACCACGGCATGGACTTCATTGTTAACTACCTTCGTATAAAAAAGCTGGAATAACATATATATTATAAATGAATGTGAACGCATGGGGAGAGATTGGTAGCGGGTGCGATTAAACATTTATAATTATTGTAAGTTTACCAAGTCATCATTCAACAGTAAGATTTCCCCTATAAATAGTACACACGCGCGCATACACACACACGCACGCACGCGCGCACACGCACGCACGCGCACACACGTAATACACGTGTGTACGCACTCCACGTAACACGTGCATACACGCACATCGACGGTAATGCCAGTGTATAAATTCTTTGCGAAGGTGGTGAAGATACGATCGTGATTCAACTGCAGCTACCACGAGCGCCTGCTGAGACGGCTCTTGCGTATCTCGCATTGCACCCCCTCTCCACACACACACACACGCACGCACACACACACACACACGCACGCACGCACACACACACACGCGCGCACGCAGGCACATACGCACGCACATACACGCAAACACGCACGCACACACACAGGCACACACACACACACGCGCGCACGCAGGCACACACGCACGCACATACACACACACACGCACGCACGCACACACACACACACAAGCACACGCACACACGCACGACAC